AACTTTCTCTTTTACCAAATAACCAAAATGATCAAAGGGCTGGAGAGACTCTTCTGTGAGGAAAGGTTGCGGCTTTTGGGAATTCCTAGTTTAGAGAAAGGCAGTGGAAGACAGGAGTGCCTGGCGTGCTCTGGTCCATGGGGTCACGAAGAGTCGGACACGACTAAACGACTAAACACCACAACAACAAAGTTTAGAGAAAAGGTGAGTACAGTGCTACTGCGGGTTACATACGCTTCAGGCTACATATGCTTCAGGTTACAGACTCCACTAACCCAGAAATAGTGCTTCAGGTTAAGAACTTTGCTTCAGGATGGGAACAGAAATCATGCTCCAGCGGCGTGGCCAGTGGCGTAGCGTGGGGGGTGCAGGGGGGGCCGGCCGCACCGGGTGCAACATCTGGGGGTTAGGGTTAGGGGGCGCAAATCCACGGGTTAGGGGGCGCAAATTACTTGCCTTGCCCTGGGTGCTGACAACCCACGCTACGCCACTGGGTGTGGCAGCAGCAGGAGGCCCCATTAGTTAAAGTGGTGCTTTAGGTTAAGAACAGTTTCATGTTAAGAATGGACCTCTGGAATGAATTAAGTACTTAACCTGAGGTACCATGGTAAAAGGTGACATGATAGAAGTTAACAAAATAATAAATGGCATGGAGAGAGTAGATAGAGGATGCCACAGTCTTCCACCTTTGAGTAACTGCTCCAGTGTTTCATTCCCAGTCACATATGTTTTGAGTGCATACTGAGCTGCAGCCCAGAAATTTGCCCATTCCATTGCTATGATTCCCAAGATAGTAATATCACACCAACACCAAATCCCATATGTTTCTATTGAAGACAAAGAAAGTTGGGGGCAAATCATCCTTATCACTCCCCGCCCCCACAGGAGCAAAAATAAATAAATAATACCAGTCCACTACCCCCTAACAATAAGCAGAGCTTCCCCTCATTGCCTTCCCAGTTTTTGCCACGTAGCCCTGGTTTCAATTCTCTTTGTGTAACTACTTGCTAAAAAAATATCACTTGATGTAATTTCGCAGAAGGAAGCCTCGGCACTCCCCACCCACCCCTTTCCTGGTAAACTCTAGCTTCCCATTGAAGATTTCTCACCCACTTCTGATTTTTGCATCACAATCTGAGGCCTTTTGTAACACTGAATTCTGACCTCTTAAATAACCACTTTGTAGCTTGGGCTACGGAGGATGAAATGAAGGCACCGTGTTCTGTGCCTGCGTTTTTTTCCACGCACGTCTTCCTATGGCTTTCCATACATTTGGGAGAGGGCGGGGTGGGAAACAATAGTTCAAAGGGAGCCAATATTTGTAGTGGAAACTAAATAAAATCAGATGGGAATAAGCAACGGCAGGGTAAGGGGAAAACAAATTTCAATCAGCCAAGCTGGTTTTCACTCTTAACCTCAGTTTGAAGTTAAAGAGAATTTGATTGTTAAATGATGTCTTCCGTTGACTTCATAAGATTTTCGTGTGACCTCTTGGGACATATGGAACGTCTTTTCTCATATGGCTCTATTTTAGGCAACTTTTTTTTTTAAAGGAACTGAAATATTAGCGTGGCATGTGATGAACAGCCTCTTATCATATGAAATGCAGCTAATGGTTTCTTTCTTTCTTTCTTTCTTTCTTTCTTTCTTTCTTTCTCTCTCTCTCTCTCTCTCTCTCTCTCTCTCTCTCTCTCTCTTATCCCTTTTTCTTATCAGTGATAACAGGGCCAAATGAAATCACACCATAATGTTGTTTTAAAGATCAAGCTGACATCTTTGGGGTCCGGAATTGGTGTGCCTTCCTTTCTATCCCATTTAACATGGCATCAATGCATATTTTGACCAGGTGCTGAGTAGTCTTTCAAGCATGTGAAAACCACTGGGTGCCCATGCGTCCTCATCATCATTTAGACTAACCTGTCTCAAAGGGTTGTTGAGGGCAGAAAACATTGCTCTCTGAATTTGCACAGCCAGATCTGATTGGCTACATGATGCTATAGTTTCATTGCAGATGAGCTCTGGTTGGCTGCTATTATACAGTCAACCAAACAATGTCAATGTTTTAAAATGACAGGGTCATAACAGCTGATGAGTGGGACAGGGAACATACACACACAAAAATATGGAAAGGTAAGATTTGTGTCTGGGGAGAGGGAAATATTCCAGACCCCATTTCAGCTCAATCTCCCTTTCATACCACAAATGTGCATTTGCATACACTCAGTGAAAATGTGATAAATAATAATTATTCTATTTTAAATATATTATTAATTAGTTAGCTTATTCCTTGCCTTATACTCATCATCTCTAGGTCATTTACAATGCAAGAAACATATATCAACTGTTTGCAGTGGTTTTTTTCTGGGGGGAAGTGGGGGGACGCATACCACTAAACATTTTGTGAATCTAAGTTTGGTCTCATTGAGGGGCAGTATTTCAATATGAGTAGGAAAATGAGAGTACCCTTAAACATTTTTTAAAGAAAAAAGCACTGACTGTTGCCATATATAGACTCAAGTGAATGTCATGGGCACAGAAATATAATACTGGGCTGAGTTAATTAGCAGTCACAGAGGTCTTTCTCCTTCAATGGCCACGATTTGGTCAGAGACAGCACACTTCCTTTGTGCAGCAAACCTTTGGCCCTCCAGATGTTGCTGAACTACAACTCTCATCAGCAAGTCCCATCAATGGCCAGGGATGATGGGAGTTCTAGTTCAGCAACATCTGGAAGGCCAAAGGTCCTCCACACCTGCTCTAGATCCCACCCATCTCTATACAACAGGAGATTTAGTAAGAGGCCTGGTTTGTCTTTTATACTGCAGAGCTTCCTTAGGAAGAGCTTGGTTACTCCAATCTCAACATCAATATTTCCCAGCATTCCACAAATCAGGTTTGCCCAAGTCAGTGCCTTCTGATGAATGCCAAGGCGATATCCTGAGGCATGCACCTGCTAGAAGAGGAGTAGATAGTGTAGTGTCTACAGATGCTTTGGAGTACAACTCCCATCATCCTTGGTCATTGACCATGTTGGATGAGGATGGATAGAAGTTGCACTCCCAAACATCTGGAAGGCTCCATGTTGGCTGCCTCTGAGCTAGAAAGCAGAATGGTAGTATCTGAAGCCCTGGAACTGCCCAGCCCCACATGGATCTGATGCAAAGGGACATAATCCCTCCCATATAACGGTTTGTCATAGTTTAACAAACAAACTCCTTATTATGGGGGGCGCAAGCCACAGATTTTATAATGGTGGTGATGTGTGGTTGACACATAATACAAAGAGAAAGCAGGAAGTGTAGGCCAGTTCTGCTTCCTGTTGCTGCCCTTTGTAACAACCAAAGCAGCTTAGTACAGTGGTACCTCGGGTTAAGTACTTAATTCGTTCCGGAGGTCCGTTCTTAAGCTGAAACTGTTCTTAACCTGAGGTACCACTTTAGCTAATAGGGTCTCCTGCCGCCGCCGCCACATGATTTCTGTTCTTATCCTGAAGCAAAGTTCTTAACCCTATTTCTGGTATTTACTATTTCTGGGTTAGCGGAGTCTGAAGCGTCTGTAACCCAAGGTACCACTGTATTGGCTTTCCATTGCTGCAGCAGTGAATATACAATCCCTAGTGTTGATTCATGCTGTTCATGCCTAGAGTTTTCATATTGCCATATTCCATTTAAAATTATGGTCTGTTACTTCACAATTCCACTGCAAATGGTGGCGATGTTTGAATAACATGTTACAGTCTCATGTTTCCTTATTTTTTTTAAGGGCTGTTTCAGCCATCCCATCCCAAATGTTTGTTTAGGAAAATAGGAGCATGCTCAGGGTATATATGTACTATGTGTATATAGCTATAGCTATAGCCATAGTTAGATATGCTGCCCACATTACTAGACTTCTAGCTTTTTCTTCCTACATTCCATGCAACAGGATGTAATAGCTGATGATGCAGTTCCCTATTTACTGGGGATAACTAGCTAGCAACTTTTATATGGATTCTCATAGAAGAATGCTTGTAGAGAACAAAATGTGAGTTTCTTTTTAATGAATCATATCCTGCCATGTCCTTGTTTATTAGACCTATCTCGTTTTCAGAACAACCTCCAGGAAAAACCCAGAGGAGATCGTTTTGACTGTGCACAAATGCAGGAACAAATCAACAAAACATATGAAATCAAACAATTCAGATAATCCATTCATTAATGTGTGTGGGTTTTCTTTTAAAGATCTGGTGTTCCAGATGTCAGCCCTTGAATGGGATTTTGAAGAATGTATCTAAGTATGTATGGAGCGTTTTTCCACCAAAAGAGCCACAAGTCACCAACATCTCGCATGAGAGGGAAGTTCTGCCAGATGAAGAGGTCAAAGTTTTGCAGTTACACACCTCAAAGTGTAGAAATCAAACACTGTGTGCAAGCAAGATGTTCTTAGCATGGGCAGTGCCAGGGGTGTGTGTGTGAAGGAGGGAAGTTCCCTTCCAACCAAAAACTTGCTTCGCCTGGCCCTTACCTTGTTGGACTCTTGTGATTAACATGTGAGACACAACTCACCCACCTAGAAATATCCTTTGCCCCTTCTCCTTCTCCCCGAATTTTTTTCCTGCTGCCACCACCACTGGTTCTTGACGAGACACCATTTTTCAAATGGAGAGAAAGTCCGGTTGGGCCCTGACACAGCGGCAAAAGAAACCGAACTAAGCATAGAATCGTAGCTCAAAGTTGCCGTCTTTAGATCTGCATAGTTTTCTTTTTCTTTCTGTGGTTTTTTAGGCTGACAAGTATCATTAGTTTCAGATTAATGCTCGCGGTTCTTTTTTTTTTATGCACTCCAGCTTGATGGTGCTCAGAGACATTATGTTTTAAGAGCTAAATCCCAACAATTCAACGAGGGTGGCAAGATCAGTTGCTACTTCCGAAACTTCTATTTCATCCAGGTCCCCCTCCCCTTTCAAGTGGATTCTTAATATACTTATATATTAAAAAAGGAGAGAGAAACATCAAATGTTCTTATTTCAAACAGGGGTTTTTTTTAATGCGCACAAGAATGAGAGTATAGCCAAATAATTATACAAAACACAAGACCAAAGGAACTCACACACCCCCATTCAGCCTGATTGAAGACTACATCAAGCAATCCCAAAGCCTACATATTTACAACAGACAAAGATTTGGAGCACAATATGACTTTCAGTTATTCACTGGATGCTCTCAGATACAAAAACGTATCAGGAATAATAATGAGAATAATGCTCCACAGGTTCCTCCTGTCATACCAAGATGATTGCTTTTAGTGCCTTTTATAGTATCCTAGATGAGCTTTGCTCAGTTAAAACATTCCCAGTGGCAGTGAAGCCTTTGTGCCTTATCTGATGAGGTGTTAAATGCACATATGAGTTTTGCATGGCTTTTTTTAACTCACAAAATGATATCTGTGGTAGGGCCTGACCAAGACTGGGACTGCAGTGTGTGGGTGGGGAGTAGGGATAGAGGAGAAAATTGATTCCGTGTGCATTTCAGCTGACTTCCAAAGCAGTATGAGAACCACAAGACCACTATTCTTCCAAGTTCACACTTATCTGAATTTTGCAATGCAATTCTCCAACCAAATATTGCTTACAAAAATGGATTATTTTAGGGGAGGTGTGCATAAAAATGAATTCAAAAACACACATCAGAGAGGTTGTTTGCAAAAGGGTGTGCAATAGTCAATACAGCATATAAAAATGTGTTTGTTAAGAGACATTCACACTAAAACGCCGATGAATTTTCATGAGGATTTGTGTGTTTTTGTTTTGTTTTGTTGTTTTTTAAAAATACAAGTTGTTGCAAAATGTGGAGAGCTGAATATAAGACATGAAAAATGAGAAACAGAGAGAACCAACAATGACAATGAAGTGGTCCCAGTATCAGGCCCTTTCCTCACCCCCACAGACCAACTTGGGACACCTAAGGATTTTGTTCCTTGGGTGACCCAAGGTGCTTTGTGGAGCTGGAATTCCAGAATAGAACAGCAGTGGGAGAGCACTGACAGATCCTTCCATCCCTAGTGTGGAGGGAACTTTCACCGGTGTCAATGGCAACCTCAATCTGAAGGAAAATAACCATTAGGGAAGGGGGAGATTTTAATTGGGTCTGTTGTGCAGGAAGAAACCTATGTGTTGTGTTCCTGTCCCTGATTGGGAGCCTCCATGGCTGTTATTTTTAAAGTCTCGTCTGCTTTGGCCCTTGAATAGTAGGCAAAATATACTCCCTCCCAACCTAGGTTTACCTTATAGTGGAAGTTGTGGGAGGCGGGGGTGAACTAGGGAGTCAATATTGACTTTACTTTTCCATATCAAGTGATCTTATAGTAAACAGATGATTTTAAAAATAATAATAATGGCATCATATTTTAAAATAGCTTTGCAACAGAAAAAATAATGAGAGAGATGGATTATTCTTTTTTTAAATAGTGATTTAAAAAGTTCATCAAAGTCTATGGAAAGATTCCGGGGATAGAAAGGGCTGCTAAGTATCTAAATTGTCACTTCTGCTTTGCATCTTAAACTCAACTCTTCCAGAATTCAAACATTTAAGTTTAACTCACTCATATGAATCTTATCCACTGCAGCGCAGTCAATATCACGAGACACTTGAGGACCAGACCAGATGAGATGTGGGGGATCAGTGATTGGATCTCCTGGTGTTTTAATATGAACAAAGCACAGCTGTGGGACCACCCCAAATTGGATTGCCAGAGGGGATCTGAGGGAGCGGGGTCTTAACTCTTTCCCTGACCTTGCGCCAATCTAAACTAGGCCCCTTTCAAGCTGCCTTAAAAACTGTGCCCCACCCTCTCCAATTGGGACTCACATGTGGGGAAATATAATGCAGTACACCCAGCCCTGTGGTCCCAACTCCATTTCTAGGAGAAGCTCTGTAACTACTTCTAAGTTGAAAACTATGGGAACCCAGATCACTCTCGTCTGTTTTGATCCTGTCTTGAAAGTCTGCAATAGGTGTGTCGGAAGTGGTTTGAATAGGGATCACTGTTCATGGTCTGTGCACTCATCCTTTTTGTTCCCCCTTTTCGGGGTCCTCCCCCCAAAAAGAAAACACCTGCAAAGGCTGTTTGATCAGAAGGAACTGCACAATGAAAAAAACCTGTGGACACACTACAGTTCCTTTCAACTGCCTTTTTTTAAAAAAACTGTTGTCTGTCTCCAAGCTCTAGCTGGCGTCAGCTACATTTGGATCTGGCTGCGTGTCACTCGCTTACTGCAGATGCGCACGCCAGCCTGGAATGTAATAAATACCATTGGGAAGACCTTGAAAAATTAAAAGCATTATCTGTGTGCTTTCCTAGGAGAATATGCTGCCAAATCAAATGCACGTATATTCGGAAGCAAGCCCCACTGACTTCAGTGGGGACTTGCCTCTGTGGGGACTTACTCCCTAGTAAGCATGGATAGGATTTTGCAGCCTTAATGTTGCATCAGTACGGTACTTTAAGAGAGTTTTACACACACACACACAACCCCCACATAAGTGTATGGTGTAAGTGAAAACTTCTGTACTTATTATGGGCATTTATTCTTCTTGCAATTAATGGTGCAATATTTTGCATTCTTATGTACTGCTTTTCTTCATTGTCTGAAAGTGCTTCTCTGTTATAGCTGACTAACTTAGAACCACATACAGTAATTTATTCATGGGACAACAACGATATCCCTCTCTCTCCCACCTAGAACTGATCCAGTTTGCTATGTCCTTGCAACTGACTTACTTGTGACCAACATGGTTTTAAAGGGACATAGCCTGATCCTATGCATGGAAGTCAAACCATTACTTTGAATTCTCCAATGCCTCCATAAGGTTTCAAAATCACACAAGCATATCGACAGGCACCTGAACTATATGCATGAACTTTTCTCCTCTGAAAGGTTCAGAATACAACTTGGAGGCAGCCCAAAGCATTTCTGTATGTGCAACGTTTGGGGCTTCAAAAATAATAAGAGGGGATTCGTTGGCTGGTGTTTTCTTTTGCTTGCTGTATTTAAACGGTTTCCTTATCGCAAGCACATCCTGATATCACATGGAGCTCCCAGTAACCCAGATTGATGACCATGAATCCCTGATCCATATCAAGCCGAAGGGCAGTAGCTCAGTCTCGGCTTTGCCTGCAGGAGCTCCCAGGTACAGCATCACCTGGTAGGGCTGGGGAAGACCTTTGCCTAAAGACCTAGTGAGCCCCTGCCAGGACATTTTACACAATACTGAGCTAGGTGAGCTAACACAGAGAGTACAAGGCACTTTCCTGTGCTCTTAACTTGTTTAGCTGAAGCAGTGTTGCAGCAGCTAGTGTTCCTAGACTGTAGCTTTGACGTTGCTGTTCAACTTAGCTTTAGCATGGCGAAATGAGGATGCATTACACACAGCCATGTGTGAAATCGAAAGAGGAGTCTGGCTTATAGTCAGATAATAAACGCATGTTTACTCAGAAGGAATTCCTCCTGCGTTCAACAGAACTTACTCCTGCTTTGTTTTGGCACAGTTTCGCAAAGTATCTGTAATAAGCCGAGTGCTCTGCAGCTAAAACAGGCACATTTCCACACTATAAAATTAAAGCTAAATGGGCAAATCTTAATTGTTCCTATTTTATCCATTAATTTCAGATGAGGCTTCAAAAGGAAAAGAATGGATTTGAATAACTATTAAGTGGAGGTTTGCAGCACTTCCGTGTAAAATATGATGCCACAAGTTTAAACCATGAAAGTCAAATAATAAACACCATTAGGCATGGTGGTTGATTTTTCATGAAGCATTGTTTATAGGACGACTATTAGACAATTGGAGTAATTTGTCAAGTACGATCATTCAGAGAAGCAGTTAGAACATATTGCCTTACAAATGTAATCCTATTGGAATCAAAGCACTAGAGTCAGTATCCATTTCCAGATAGTTTAAAGTTCTTCAGATTACTTGCAATAGTCAGGAAAACTGGAGTTGGATGATAAAGCTTTGAGGAGGGTTTGATTTTTCAAATAATTAGTTGTAAATGCCCATCTTATCATAACACTTTCATAAAGGCATGTTCAGCTGGGCTGAATTCTCCTCCAACTTCCTATTTCAAGCACCGCCTCAAATTTCCAAGTTATATCAAACAGTTTCCATATAAGAAGGAAACAGTCTTTCAAATTAAAATGTTAATTGTAAACAAACCTAAACACATTGCGGGGGTGAAGGTGGGGAGAGAATGCAGGCCGTCTATATAACAAAAGATAATTATATAATTCCATTTGAGTGAAATCTTTCATCTTTGATTTACAGGTTTGAGTCTGCTGTAACTCAAACCACATTTGTTCCATATCTTTCATACCACAGCTTTCCCTAAAATCTTGTTCTAATTAAGGTCCCTTTCAGATTTCTGAATAAAAAGCATGACAGTGTTCATTTATGGCTTTAATGTATCCTTTGAGCTTGGAAAATATAAAAAAGAAGAGCATCACTTGCCGTTCAAACAAAGGGAGGCTATCGGAGACTGCAAAATGGAATGATGGAAGGTAGAGAATAATGCACTGTGTTCTTTAGGGATGTGTGTGTGTGTGTGTGTGTGTGTGTGTGTGTGTGTGTCGGGGGGAGAGGGTACAAACAGCTACTGTAACTCCTCTATCACTATTTGCATCCCTTAAAAATTCTCCGATTCTGAATAAGTGCTATTTCCCTTTCTGTGACAATAAGGCAACATGTGTGAGAGTTTTAAACTTTCATTATCAGCAAAAGGCACAGTTCGTCATGCATCCACAGTTACTCACTATACTGGAAGGAGAAAAATAAATAACAGGAGACACCTCTTGGGTTGTTGTTGTTTTAGAACTAGGATCCAACCCTTGAAAAGCCTCAAAAAGAAAAGAACATCTGATGCACTGGTCAGGTTTAAAAACAAGGAATCTGCGGAAGCAACCAAACCTTGAGGGAAATGCAGGAAGGTCCCTTCTGCTTGCTTGCCTTGAAGCTGGAGCAGAGCAACAGCTTAAAGCAAGGTAAAGGCAGGGGATTTTTGTGTGTGAGCTAACTGGAATATCTTGCAATCATATACTGACTAGCTGATATCAGCTCCAAACTGAGCAGCATTCTCCCAGAGTCAAACCACCGCTCTCTCTCTCTCTCTGTCTCCTTGCGGAGAGCGTTTTGTTGCACGGGTTTATAAAATGCCACATGAAAAGTGAGAGAACAGAAAGCAAAATAACCCCCTCAAAAAGAGAGGAATGGGGCTAACTTAAAAGAGCAATGTTGCACATTTCATTAGGGGACAGCTGAAAAGCAGTGGAGCAGAGCTCTCTTTCGGCTGAGTCCTCCTGACTCAGCATTTCAAAAATGGCACTACAGAGGAACGGCCCACTGTTTCATTGCACCGGGAGCATTAAACCAATCCTATCGACTCTTTTGACAATGCAAAGAAAAACAAAACCCGATCCAGTAAGACATGTTCAAAATGTCAGAAGCGGTGGGATTTGTGACACTATTTTGTTCCTCCCCTTGATGTTTCTCAGGCTGCTTTCAATTTCCCTCGGCAACCATAGCTGAGAATGTAGAATTGCTTTAATGTTTCTATTCTACCATTTAGGTCGGCAAGTGGATCACACAGCACACGAAAGCAGGCTCTAGGCTCAGGCTCGCTTTGCAAGCTCTGGTTCCCTGTAACTTTAGAATGGCAGCGGTTACATCGAAGGAGTCTCGGAAGAGCCTTTTAAGTCCATCCAACGAACAAGTGAAGCTGCTGTTCAGAATTCTGTGCCCAGTGTTTATGCTCCATCTGATCTCTGCCACCCAAGCAGCAGACAAGACATGTCTAAGGGTGCTTTTTTGGGGTAAGAGGAGGGGGAAATACACAATGATGTCACACACAGGAAATATCAGAGAGAACTTGGCATTTCACAAGGCTGGCTCTTCTTCCATAGGCTCGCCGGCAGCTCTAGAAAAATAAACAGGCAATCAGAATATGGAACCAGAGTACACAATGACATTGTAGATTTTCATGCATAATCAAAGCTGATTTTTCAGCTCTCCCCCATGTTTATTTGTATTCTTCAGCTATCCATAAATAAAAATTTCTTTCCTAGGAAGTATAAACAAATGTCAAGTGGAAAAACATTTTTGTTCCAAGCAATCACTGCAAAAGGTTCCTGTTTATATTAAAATTGTCAGAATATTTTATAACTTTAGGTTCAGAAATGCACATGCTTTGTGTCAGCAAAATCAGAAAATTTAAATGGAGGGAAAGGTGCAAGCCCACCATCTCTCCTTCTTCCCCCCTAATTTATCCAATTTAACGACAGAGAATACCCTCTTCAAAACCAGGTAACACGTAAGGAATGTAGCGGAGTTTCCAAGTCATCTTGGTCGCGCTGCTTCTCTTTCAAGACCCTGTTGGCTGCTTGCCTGCCTAAAACTTCCGAGCTCCAATTCTGAATTTGATTAGCAGACTGCTGCCATAAAGCAGGTATCTAATAATAATAAATAATCTGATTATGCACATCGTCTTTATTAGGAATCACCTGGGAGACAGCCAACAGGCTGAACTAAATTGGCTATTGGGAATGTAAAAACAGAGAAGACAAAGTATTTCTCCCCCTGCCCCCTCCTGATTGCTCTGGAGAGTAAAGAAGGAGAGATTATTTTTAAAAACTACGTTGCCGACAGAATGAGAAATCAGATAATATGGGAATCTAATCCTACAGCAATGCTTCAGAACAAGCACACACACACACACACACACACACACAGACAGAGAGAGAGAGAGAGAGAGAGACTTTGTTACTGCTGGATGCCCATTTCCAGATTACTTTCACCAGGGAAATTGCAAATACAATGGGGGAATTTATTAACATCCAAAATATTTACCATTATAGCTTGCTTTGTGTTGCTTGAATTGCTGCAAGAAGGAATAGGGTACTGTTTTCTCATGGACGAGCATGTGCCTGATGCAATGGTGATTCTTTCATGTTGTGCATGGTGTGTCACAGTCCTCACACCAGTTTGACTAATGGCAGATAGCCCCACCCTGCTAGGAATAATATCAAGGGACTCACACAAGGGAGCCTTGTTTTTATGTCTGCAAGTGATACAGAATGCCTTTTTTTTTTTACATTGGTTTGATGTTTCCTTTACATGAATGTAAGCTATGTTAAGAAGTGCAAATAGCTACCTAACATACGTAACTTACATTAAACAGTGGACAGCAAGGTCAATAACATCATTTAGAGGAAACTGAACTGCAGTGAAATAGAAACAGGGCTGATTGTGACTAATTGACTGCCAGTTTGTTCCTGGGCTCAATTCAAGGTGCTCATGTTAGTGTTTAAAGCCCTAAAATGACTTAAGCCCCAAATATCTGATAGACCACTTCCATCCCTACAGACGCTCACAGAATGATCCTCACAGAACAGCAGGGGGCCCCTTCTTGATAATTCCACTTCCCTTAGAAATTGGGTTGTGTGGCCTGGGAGAGGGCATTTTCTGTGGGGTTCCCTCAAATTTCCCTTGCCACCTGAGATGTGTGTTTTCAGGGCCCACCGTTTTCCTGTGACTGTAACCTGTTTTAATTGTACTTAATTCTGAATTTTAAATTGTTCTAATCCATCCTGGAACCTGCTGTTGAAAGGCAGGTAATCAATTAATAATACAGTAATAATAATCAATTAATAAAAGAGTAGTAATAATAATATCCATTGGAATGGAAATCCTTGCCTCCTTACATCCCTAAAAACAGGTTTACGAAAAACAGTCTCAAAGCCAGCAGTAAGGTGGCCTTGACTGGGTAAGTGGGTAGATGTGTTGATCCGTTATTTTAGTTACAGATTTCTATTTATCATCTATCTATACAAACAGCCCACCTCCAATGCTTTGCATAATATACAATTTATTAGGTCCATCATGATAGCAGTATTATGCATAGCTACCTGAGTGTCAGGTCCGATGAGCACAGTGCTGCATCCTTCTGATTGCATAGGTTCAAATAAAACACACTGTGTTTTAAAAGGAAATATTCAACCAGCTGAAATGCAACCTCTAGCTTTTACTCAGAAATGCAAATGGGCTTGCTGATCAGAAGGTTGGTGGTTCAAATCCCCATGACAGAGTGAGCTCCCATTGCTCTGTCCCAGCTTCTACCAGTGCAAGTAGATAAATAGGTACTGCTGCAGCAGGAAGGTAAATGGCGTTTCTGTGCGCTCAGGTTTCCATCACGGTGCTCTGTTGTGCCAGAAGTGGTTTGGTCATGCTGGCCACATGACCCGGAAAGCTGTCTGTGGACAAATGCCGGCTCCCTCAGCCTGAAGCAAGATAAGTGCCCCAACCCCATAGTCACCTTTGACTGGACTTAACTGTCCAGGGGTCCTTTACCTTTTACCCTTTGCAAACAAATAATGCAAAAAAAGGAAGAAGTTCCTATTGAAACTTCAAAGAGTCAGAACCTCTTCCTCTACACTAAACTGTTACAAACAAACTTCAAAGTCTCATTATTATCTCATTCAATTGTTGGAGCAAGGACAGTCCATCAAATTACTCTGGTGCTGTGGCAGACAATATCAGCGCTACCATTCTGTCTCCACCGCAGCATTGATATATCTAGATCTATTCTCAATGAGAGCAGAAGCTAGCAGCACCCGATGGTACCTAACTTCCCTTGAAAACCAAGTGATGTGATCAAAACCTATAGTGCCTGACTTTGCAGGCATGTGAAATATAAACACAACGGTGAAATTTCTATAACAGCTGTTAAGCATAATACAGCACAGCACTGAATGTTGTTCATTTTTTGGCACTTGTTTTGGGGAAAATGCATAGCTCATTTGCAGCATAACACTTTCTCATTATAAAGCTAAGCCTATCCTTGTATTTTTCTTGGTATCCTGGGTTCTGTAGATAAAATGTTGGACTTGGATCTTGGAAATGTCCATTCAAATTCCAGCTAAGATTCACTTGGACAAATTGCAACATCTCAAAACTGGTTCTGCATCTGTAAAATGGAAGTAAGAGCAGCTTCCCTTAACGTAGAAAGTAAAGGATTGCCTTGCTGGAGTGATCTAATCCACCATTTTGTTTCCAATAGTTGTCAACTGGGTGACTATGTAAATTCAGCTGATGGCCACCCCTTCCTGTTGCCCCTAGCATAGGGTTGTTGTTGTTGTTGTTATTGTTATTGTTGTTTAGTAGTTCAGTCACGTCCAACTCTTTGTGACCCCATGGACCAGAGCACACCAGGCACTCGTGTCTTCCACTTCCTCCCACCGTTTGGTCAGACTCATGTTGGTAGCTTCGAGAACACTGTCCAACCATCTCGTCCTCTGTCATCCTCTTCTCCTTGTGCCCTCAATCTTTCCCAACACCAGGGTCTTTTCCAGGGAGTCTTCTCTTCTCAAGAGGTGGCCAAAGTACTGGAGCCTCAGCTTCAGGATCTGTCCTTCCAGCATAGGGTAGACAATGATATATTGCATGTGTACACGGAGATTTCCTTTCACTATCAGGACTGTTGGTAGACTGCGTTCATGTGCTCCCTTGGTATTGTGAGCAACAACAAATTGGAGATGTGGCCGTCCCTACAATGTTCTGTCACTAGTGTTGAAGTAAGATTCATCTGCATGCCCACGTCTCTTCTGCACATGGAATGGGAGAGGGAATCATCCTGTCTTTTGCCACAGGCAACAAAATATATTGGAGGCAGTAAAGCCCGTAAAGCAGTTTTATTTATATATCAGGGATGAGAAACTTGGGTCCCTCTAGTTGTTCCTGGACTGTAGCTCACACCAGCCTTGGCCACTGGCCATGTTGGCTGGGACTGATGGGAGATGTAGTCTAGCAACATCTGGAGGGCGCAGGTTCTTCATCCCTGAGATATATTTATATATTTGGGTAGGATTTTTATGTTGTACCACTTCATCTGCCCCCAGAATGGCCTAAATCAGAAAGCATGCAAAGGCAAGCTCCCATACCGTTTCCAAAGTCAGTGATTATTTGGATATAGCTCTTGGTCCAATGCAAGGCTCTAATCAGACTGGTGTAATCTCATTTCCAAAAAGGAATGGGTACTTATCAGCACATACGATGCGCAGGGCATTACAGGGCCATGGCTGCTGTTTACGGATCAATCTTTTCATTTAAATCAATCGTAGCCTCATTTTCAGCCCTTTTCTTTCATCTTGAACCAGCCCCATCTCTCTTCCCTATTCCCTCCCCACTCTCTTGACAATTTCAATTAAGTTCCGAACGTAGAGAGCTCTCACGAACGTAGAAAGCTCTGCTTTACCAAACAAAACGTTAAAACACCCAGAAAATCACAGCTTCCCCCTGAAGCCTGCTCCATTTGGCATGTCAGAACAAATCAAAATGAAATAACTGTTTACTCGATGATGTCACTTTAGCAAAAAGGAAGAACGAGAGAGAGAGAGAGAGAGAGAGAGAGAGGTGCTCAGCCAAACCATTCTCTCTTTCTTCTCTTGGTGGTAAATGAGTCAGATATTAGTTGGCCAGGGAAAGAGATGCTTTGTTCAGACTCTGAGATGGAAATGAATCATGCTACTCAGAGCACCAATATAACCTCCAATATAATTGGCAAGTCTTTTGTAAGGAGAATGTTTTTCTCACCAAACACACACACACACATACACAACCCAAGACCACGTTCTGGATAACAGATGTCAACTAATCAATCAGAACACAGGGCTGGGTTTTCCAGCTATCCCCGTTTGAAGTGAGTGTTTTTTGTGTGCTGGCGAATAACACTGAACATCATGGGATGCCTTGCTGACAGTTCTTAACTGAGAGGAACCCTGGAGGAAATGGGAGAATGCTGTTGTCTATCATTGGAATGTGTCTTATATCTAGCTGCACTATGATGGGTTCTTTGTGAAGACTGAATGATGACGTGAAGCACAGCAATTTGGGGTACTTTCTCTTCCATCCCCCAGTGCAATG